CACTCCACCTCCCTCCTGCCCATGCAGGGCACACACATGGAAAATGCCACCTGAGAAAGGTTCTTCCCTTTGGTTCTCAGCCCTAGCTGCAATCACCCAGTGAGTGAGAAGCACAGTCCCAGTGCCCCAGCAGGACCTCAGGCTGATCCAGGCAGCAGCTGTGGGCCGGGGCTACACCTCAGCACTTCCCAGCCAGCTCTGTCTCTTGGCCCTCCCACCCTCCTCTGCCATACTATACTCCATTCACACCAGAGTTCTTGCTCACCCAGGCTGTGGAGAGCCCAGAGGTCCATTCAGCACTTTGCTACTGTGCAGTATCACAGGACAGTGTCACCACCACCACCACCACCACCACCCCCCCCCGAGGCAATGGCCGACTCTGGGAAGCTGGCCTATGAGGTCCATGCATCTCTCCAGACTCTTTACAGCCCTCACCACAGCCTGTCTCTCCACTAAGAGCAGAGAAAGCAGCTAAGAAGGCCCAAATGGAAGTCAGCACACCAGGGCTCATCATTTGGCTCTGCCACCTAGGCCAGTTTTGTGGCCCTGAGCTAGTGCCTTACCCTCCCCTGAACCTTGGTTTCTCCATCCATAAGATAAGGACCGGGAGAGCCCTTACCTCACAGGTTTGTGTGCACAAGGAAAGAGACCCAAGGCCAGATGTAGACCCTGGCACTTGCCAAAGCTTTGCTGAATGCCAGCTCATACTTGCTTTCAGCCAATACAGTGGAAAGAGCAGAAGATAGAAACCACCTACACAAAAGCCCTCAATCATTTTTGAGCGTAAAGAGGCACTGAAAGCCCAAAGCTTTAGGAGGCTGAAAGGTAACACCATGCTCTGCTGACTGCAGGGTATGTGGCTAGCAGGTATTGATCCCCCTCTGTCCTCCCTCCCAGCCACACCATAAGCTTTGCAAAGAACTGGTGCGGTGGTCTCTGAACACTTGGGGTCTCCCAGCAGGGGCCACACCTGAACCTGCCTAGGTTCCCAGCACCCAGTGTATGAAAAACTCCCTCAATGGCACCCATAGTTTTGAACAGCTCCTGTCCCCCTTTCCTCTGACAGATCTTACCCCTTTGGGGATCATCCAGCCTGTTTCTGTCCTATGGCTACAGAGCGTCTCAGAGGCAGTGGTCTGAGTGGTGAGCCGGGAAGGACTCTCTGGGCCAATGATCATCTTGGGTTCTTGCTCAGAACTTGGGGAGGAAAAACCCACTCTGTGCTGAGACTACCACTCTGGGGCAGTGAGCTCTATATGCTGGCCCCAGGGTGCAGCCAACTCCACAGGGCACGCCAAGGACAAGTTTCTCATTCTCTCTCTCTCTCTCTCTCTCTCTCTCTCGAATGAGTTTCTCTCGCAGCTGAGAGCCCAGGTAAATAATTCAGAATGACCAGGGCCCAGGTGTGGACAGTGCCGAAGCTGCTAAGAGGACTTAGGATAAGCTGACCATAAGCCATCACTGAAGCCCCACACCCCTGGTTCCAGGAGAGACCCCCTTTGCACACCAGAGACCCCAAAGACCCCCATCCAAACAAAGCTGGATAACAGCACCAATTTCCTTTAACTTCATCATTTATAAAGCCATACAATGGTCGCAAAGAAAGCGAGCAGCTGTACAGGAGTGGGTAGCATTTGTGTACATTCACATCCAGGACAAGAAGCAGAGGTCAGGGTTTGTACAAGGTGGTGGAGGTTATAGGCACAATGATACAAAATATAAAGTATATTTCCATCTATATAAATACACAGCCGGGGGGAGGGGGAGAATGCTGGGGTATTCTGCTTCTCCCCAAAAGGGCCTGGGAGGTGGGGTGGGGGTGATGGCGGTGGTGGCATAAGGAGTCTCTTATACTGGTTTTGATGACGTTTCAGGGAGAAGTGGAAAGGCAGCATGCACACTTGGATGTGCTGTTATATTTGGACCCCTAACACAGACCACAGGAGAGTGTCGCACTGTCTAACACTGACCAGGGGCACACTGGGGATGCCGCTGTACAGTGCTCTCACTGCTAGGAAGAGCCCAGGGGTGGAGAACAGAGTGAGATCCCCCAGTCTTGCAGATATTTTAAGACAGAGGAGACAAGAAAGGACAACTTGCCTGCACCCATCCTGCACGGTTGACCTTGTCTTCAATGCTGAGACCCCACTGATCAGTGGCCTTACAAGCCTTGCCTTCTGATGCCTCTCCTGACTGGGTCATATTGAGCTTGATGCTCTAACCACTAAGTTCTTAAAGAGATGAGCAAAACATCCATACACACACACACACACCCACACTTGCACATGCATACACACACATCCTGTTACCCCTGCACAAGTACACATGAGTCTCAGGATCCTGGGGCCTGGACCTGGTCAGAAAGGTGACACTGAGACCACTCCCAAGCTCAGCAAGAACCCCAAGCAAGGGCTAGTGGTGGGCCACCTCCCATGATGGAACACTACCCTACCTACTTAAGACCTGAAGCTTGGAAACACCAAGTGAGGGGGACAACCCAGACCCAATGGAGAGTGGCAGAAGGATTCCTGTTCCTTTTCCTCCTGGGAGCCCCTTCAAAGAGACCATACCCAGACAGTGTCCCATTGTCCTGACTACTCCTAGAATCCTGCAGCCAGTGTCCAGTCTTCTCTCCAATCCTAGAACATGATATCCGTCCCTCTGATGGGGAAACCAGGACTCCACAGCAGCAGGAAGGGCACTGTCACACCTGAGGCTAAGCGCACGCTCCCCTTCTCCCTATCTCCTCTGGGGTCATAGGTCCTCTCTCTCAGGTTCAGCCCATCCTGTGGGAAGAGCCACACAGCCCTTCCCAGGCTCACTCCTTCCCCCATCACAGATGTCCCTGCCCTGCTCTGTCCCTTCCGTCACCTCCTGAAGTGGAACAGACCAGCAAGGGCAAGGCCTGAGGCTGCTCCAGGGACCTGGGGTCTGGTGGCAGCACTGTGGGCCAGCCATGTGTCTCCTGCTCCTTGTGCTCATTCACCAGATCGTCTCCCATCCCAGCTTGCATTCAAGACCAGACAGCACTCTCCTTGCTAACAAAAGGACTCAACAATAAACAACAGCAAAAGAGGTCAGGGGGAGGGGCAAACATTTACAAAATAACAACAATGAGTAAAAGTGCTTTTCTTAAAAAAAAAAAAAAAAGGAAATCTTTGGCAAGATTAGACTGCAATGCAGAGTGATGTGCGTGTGTGTACACAGGCCTACTTGTGAAACAGGATAGGTAAGGGAAGCAGGCTAGTGTGCTCCCCACCTAGTGGAGCCACTGTGGAGACTTGGGTCCCTTCCCATCATCCTTTCGGAAAGGCCCCCCAGAGGCATGCTGGGAGTGATCAGCTGGCCAGTGCGTACCTGGGTCCTTCCCGTGGCTCACCCACAGTTCCAGGCCCCAGCCAAAGAGGGTGGGCTGGCCACCCTTGGAGGCGTGTGGTGGGTGGGAAAGTAAGTGTGCAGGTTGACCCCAGATTCAGTAGTGGGCCCAGCTGGGGCTGCTGGCGAGTCTGATACACAGGCCAACCTCAAGGGGGAGAGGGCACCCTAACTTGGAGGAGGCCCCCAGGATGCATGGGCAGATAGGGTATTTACAAAGAAAGGGGACAGAAAGTATCTTCTATCTTGGATCAGAATTAAGGTTTACTACTTACTAGGGAAGGAGAGGAGCCGATCCAGGCATCTGGCTTGAAAATCTCAGAAGGAAGGGCACTTGGAAGGACTTTGGTTACTAAGGACTTTGGTTCCCAAGGACTCAGCCTTTGGGAAGCGGGGGCCAGTGGGGCCTCTGGCCCTGCTCTCTACTGAACACACTCTATTTTTCAGTTCCCTGAAACAGAAGGCCCACATGGATACAGTTCCCCGGAGGAGGAGAAAGCACGAGAGAAGCACACACTGGGGGCCACACACTCCCGCGTTCACGCACTCATACACTCGCTGGGCCCCTGGTGAATGGGGCTCCCCACACACCCAGGGAGCTGCCCATGGGGCCCTGCTTGCCAGAAAACAAGGGTGCATGGGGATAGAGCATGTGTACCCCAACCCACTGACCCTGGATGTAGCCCATGGAAGGCCAAGGCCCTAGCAAGAAGACCCCCAGATCCTCCAAGGATGAAGGGCCTTGTATTACAGACTCTACTCACACATTAAAAAAGGGATGGGAACTGGTTTATGTCCAGGGAGGCCATAAAGCAATATGGAAAAACAATAAATACTTCTTGTCAATTTACCTATTCTTTTTTTTAACCTTTTCTTATATTTTATTAGCTTACAGATTCTGTCAGTATGTCTCATGTATATATTATATATATTTATATATCAGTACAATGCCTCTTTCTAAGGGACCCCCTATAGGCTTAAGAATGAAGTCTTGATCAATTTTCTCTGGCTTAGAGTCCTTGGGAGGTGGTTAGGAGGTTCCCAACTGTCCAAATGGACCCTAGGTCCTCTGGGCCAAATGTACACTCTGCCCTCTGCTCTTTGGGCAGCATGGCTTTGTAGGGGTAACCAAGGCAGGAGAAACAGCGAGGCTTTGGTATTGTGGGTAGGCAATGTGGGGCTCTGGCAGCAGCCCTAGGAGCTCTCTGGTATTGGTTTCAGTAGCCCAACCAGAAGGGCACCTGCAATGGTCAGACCCCAAAATATTTACAGAGTGGAGGTAGGGGTGACACTTCTCCGAGGGCCTGGTGAGCAGGGCTTTCTGAAGCAGGCTTCCCAGAATGAGTGCCAACATGAGGGCCCTGCAGGACAGAGCAGGGCAGGGCAGGGCAGATCCAGAAGGCTCCATCCCTAGCCCCCCAAAAAGCATCATGCACAAGAGTAGATCTGAGATAAGGCTGATGCTGGGGCTCTAAGCCCAGGAACGGCAGATAGCTGGGAGTAAGGCAGAGTCCCAGGGCCTGGCAGATGGCCTGTCCTGCTCACACACTACAGGGGAAAATGCCAGAGCTCAGCAGCCACCCTTCCTGATGGGTCACTTCCCCAGACTACAGATACTAGCATCCCCATTGAGACAGAACAGGACAGGCAATGCTGTACAGCGGATCACCTCCTCTTACCAGAGCCTGTACAGGACAATGGGCTAGTGGCACCCAAGTCCTCTACAGGGCAGGTGTAGGGACCAGGACTCATGATCTGGGTGCTCCTGTAGGAGAGGGCTGTTGTCACTTCCCTGATGCCTGTCACCCCCAGCCTAAACTTTGGATCTTAAGCACATGTGCCACAGACACATGTGACACAGAGCAGTAGAGCTGTTTGTGATTCTAGCAGAAAAAGGCAGATAGAAATTAGTGTGTGAGGACACGGGTGGGGATGTTTATGCACCCACAAGACCATGCACTGGAGGCTCAGCTCAGACCCGAGGCACCTTGGGTCTGAGAAACTTGCAGAAGGCTAAGTTTCACCACTCCCTGTCTGCCACTGGCTGGCTGGCTTAAGAACATATGTCCACGCCACCAAAAAAGTATTCTCGTATTTTGATTTCTCCTCACAAAGCAAGGTGGTCAGGGACACAGATCTTCTATCCCTCCACCCTAAAATATGGGTCCCAAGGAGGCCTATTGGTGCACTCTGAGGAATCCTTCCTCTCAAGGGGCAGGGGGAACATGGGGACCTGGTTAGTTTGGGAGGCTTTGGGATTTTGCAGTTTCCATCTACCCAGGGGAATCTGAGTTTTACTCTGCCACCTTCTCTTTCTTTTTGCCCCTCTCCCCCACCCCTCCATGATTCACTTTCCTCTCCCCATGATGCACTTTCTTCTCTCCTTCTCCAAAATTGGTCCAAAGTCCTCCTGGTTTCAAGGTGGTCAGGATTCACGGGCCCCCCTCCCCACTGCCCTGGCCTGGGCACGGGGTCTGGGAATTCATCTCTTCTGGCCAGCACTCAGCATGACCTTGGAGACAAAGTTGACAATAGCAGAGGCAGGCTGGTTGGGGTCAAGCTCAGCAAAGAGGTGGCAGGCGTTGTCCGTGGTGCTGCCTTGCTTCCGGGCAACGAAGCCAAAGAGCCTGCAGGGGTGGAGAAGGGTGACAGGCTTGAGGGGTGGGGAGAGCAGCCTGGGCCAGCCAACCTGCCCCTATCCTGCAGCCCTGCCAGCATCAGGGGGCTGGGGCTGGTGAGCACCCTCTCTGTCCCACTGAGGTGAAACCCAGTCCTGGGGACTGCTCTTTCAGGGCAGCAAAAGTTCCCCCTCACCCCAGAGGTGGGAGGGGCAGCTGGGGGTGAATGAGAGACGGGAAAGCAGGGTGGGGCTGAGGCCAGAAATAACCTGGGAACATTCCTAGACGCCTGATCCTGCCCCGCCGCCCTACCTCCAACCCTGCTAGTCCCGCACCCAGCACATAGAAACAAGGGGTCTGCCAGGCAGAGGCAACCTCTACAGACCACTCTCAGGATCAGGGGGCAGGACCAACAGGGCCACACACATACATGCGTGCACACACACACACACACACATTCCTCCCAAGCTCATGGGGCTACGAACACCAGAGAATGGGGGAGACCCCATGTCCATGCCTTCACCCCTCCTGCACTGAGACTGGAGTGACCTAGAGTTCTCTCTTTACAAAACAGAGTTAAAAATATGAGGGCAGAGAACAGAATGTGAGCACAGGCCTCTCCTGCCCGGCCGGCATGTTGCTAATTAGAGCGGGATGGGGATGTCAGGACAGCTGGAGATTCCGATGAAGCCCTCAGCCTAGGACAGGCCGAGCTAAGATTAGCAAGGCTGCCTCCACATGCATGCACGCGCACACACGCGTATGTGTATGCGTGTATGTATGTGTGTGAACACAGAGGCACATACACCACACTTACGTAATTCCACAGACATATGCACACATACATGTATGTATGCCATGCAAATGCCTACATACTTACTTGCACATACCATACACACAAACAACATGTGCATCCCACACATACACACAAGGCACATATGCATATCGACTTCCGTGCCATCACACCTACTTCATCACAGCATACACAATCCGCAGTTGCACACAGCACATACATATATACGCAGCACACAGATATGCACATCACATACACACATACACACACACACACACACACGGCCGTGTTTCAGGCCTGTGTTTCAGGTCAGCTGTGTTTCAGGCCTGGGCAAGGCAGGCCAAAGGCTAGGTAGTGCCCAGCAGGAGGGGAAGCAGGACCTCAGCATGGTGGCCCTCAGTCCCCCTCTGTGGCTGTGGCACAGCGAGGACATCCAGGCAGGGAGGGGCCCTTTCCGAGTCCCCACTGGAGGGAGACCCAGCCAGCCATGTTCTCCTCACACTGTCACCTGCCCTGTCTTCAGGCTGAGGCCTGCCTGGCTGGCTGGAAGGGACAGGAGGAGGGAGGGAGCTGCAGGGATGCAAAGTTCCCCAGGGTTCTCTGATGCCTGAGGAGGCTGAGCACCCCTGCCTTCCTCCCAAGCAGCCTCTCTGGAGTCCCCACTGCTGACCACTCCCAGATCGCTGCCAGGCCCATCCACTCCCCCCAAGGTGGCCTCCCTCTGCCCACTCCCAACCTCTGTTCTCATCTCTTTTTTTTTTTTTTTTTTTTTTGGTCTTATTGAGACAGGTCTCACTATGTAGCCCAGGCTGACCTTGAACTCACTATGTAACCCAGGCTGGTCTCAAACTCACAGCAATCCTCCTGCCTCAGCCTCCGAGTGCTGGGATTACTGGCAGGTGTCACCACACCAAGTTTATCTGTTTACTTTTTCATACAACAACTATTCCTTAGCTGTGCCCCCCATGACAGACCCACCCTATCTTTAGGGTACTTTCAGCCTGGTTGCGTCATCCCCCTGCCCTAAAAGAGCCTATTTTGAGACCCACTTACACATATTTGTTCTTTCCCCAATCCTTCCCAAGTCTTTTCCTACTGGACACACTCTCCCATGTTAACACCACCACAGATGTGGGCAATACTCTCTCCAAAACTCAGTGACAATGGCAGGCAGGTCCCTGCTGCCCTTCCTCAGCCCCATCCCCTGCTGTAGTCAGAAGCCACACTTACTTCGCAGGGGCACCTCCCTCTGTCTTCGTCCACCTGTGGAGAAAAAGATGGTCAGGGTGGTCCACTGCACCTCTCCGCAGAAACCCATCTACCCAGCCCAGACTTCCCTAAAGGCAGAGGAGACCCTCTTCTGAGAGACAGAAGATAGTGCCTTCCGTGTGAGAAAACAGAAAGAGACTGAGGATCAGGCACACACACAGGGCTGGAAGTGGGTCTCTGTGGCGGGAAAACTTGGAAGGATGTTCGGCAGGGTTGACAACACTCTTAGACACGTGAGGATCTTCACATTGGACCAAGCACATAGCCAGCCACACGCACACACACATACACACACGCGTGCGTGCACATATACATATGCACATGCACACATACAGATACACAAGCTGGTGAGACAGAGCTGGGGGAGGGGAAAGGGCCTAAAGATGCTTACTTTCTTTCCTGTGGATCCAAGTCACAGAAGGTGACGGTGTTGAGGGGGTAGTGTCGCCTGAAGAAGAGCCTGTAGCACAAACACATTGTGAGTGCCAGAATAACTGTGTTTTCCCAGTCAGGTCAAGCCACCCTTCCACCATCTGTGCCTCTCATTGGTCCACACAGCCTCCCTTTTGCTTATGAGCCAAATGACCTGAGCCACTCCCCCTGGGGACCTGAACAATGCACAAGGACAATCACATATGCCACAGAAATGCATCTCAATTGCTGGGAAAGAAACTGATGCTAATGAATGATAGGGGTTTCCTGGAGGAGGAAGCAACTGGGATGGGGACATGGTGAGGAGGTCAAGAAGAAGGCTGTGATCCTGAGAAGCAGGCGCCTTTCCTCAGTTGTTTCTATGGCTGAATACCCAGTGCAAGCAAGCCTTTGCAGGATGGACAAGTGAAAGGATAAATGGTGAGTAGGATAGTGGGGGATGAATGGGTGGATAGGTCAATTGGTGAGTGGGTGGGAAGATGGATGGATGGGTGGATGGATGGATGGATGGATGGATGGATGGATGGATGGACAGATGAGCTAGTTAGAAGAATGGATGCAAGATACTTGTATAGCTGGGTAACAGGTAGATAGGTACAAGACAGGAATCCGTTGGTAAGTGAGCAGGTAGCAGGGCTGTGGGCTGGAGAGCCTGACACATAAGCAGAGAGAAGAGGCTTACTTTCTCTGGTTGTCAGTCAGTGTGATTCCCTGGGCAGAGACTTTGAAATGAACAATGGTGGCAGCTGGTGTGGGGTCAGCAGCCAACGTCTCTGATATGGCTTTCGAGATGGCCTGGGGCCCGGTCAGTGACTCCATATCCACAGAGTTGACAAAGAGCACGTTGCAGGCTAGAGGAAATCAAATCAAAGAGAAAGCATGAGGCTGGAGTGGGTCAGGGACAATACCCACAATGCTTCCTCAGGGAGAAGGTAGCAGATGAATTTCAGGCCAGCCTTGAGCCAAAGCATCTGCACATGGAAATGTGATCTGCCTAGAGGGTTTGGCTGGGCAGGACTTCAGCCCATGGCAACGAGAGGGGATGCGGCAGGGATCCAGTTGCAGGTGACCACTCACCTGCTCCTTGCTTCAGCAGGTCAGCGGTTGAGTTGGCAGAGCCCGAGCTATCTTTCGATTCATCTGTGGGGTCTGTGACAAAAATTCAGCTAGTAATTAAATCCCTAGAGCTGGAGAGAAGCATGCATTTGGCTGGGCCTCGAGAGAGCCCTGCAGTGCTCTGTGCACTGAATGCTGGTTCTCCTAACAGGCCCTGGCAACTGGCACTGGGTTACACAAAGGCTGAATGGTCAGCGGCCCCTGGAAGCGCTCCGCACACTGGTGCAGAGCTCTGGAAGGCAGCAGACCTGGGCTCAGACCTCACCCCCAGTGCCTGCTCAGTGTCTACACAACGGGATGATGACAGCAGGGTCTGCATCACTGAGTTTTCAAGATATTCCATCTACAAGGCTAAGCCCAGTGCTTGGCAAACAAGAAGTCTTCAGGCTTCAGTGATGGGTGCAGCCATGTGGCTTTCCATTGATTGCTGTGTTCCTGTGTAGATTAGCACATGCTCTCATACATTAAACCACTAAGGTAGCACAAGAGCCATGTCTGAGTTAACAAGAATTGAGTGACATGCTTACAATCCCAGGTCTCAGAGGCTGAGGCAGGTGGAACACTGTGAGTTCCAAGCCAGCCTGGGTTAGAGTGAGACCCTGTCTCAAAAAATTAATAACAAATAAACAAAAAAGAATTGATTGGCAGGTTAAGTAGCTTGATTTTGTCATTTTACAACATGTACATATCTCAAGACACATTAGACACTGTACACAGCACATTTTTTATTTCACTTAAACTTTAATAAAAATGTTTCTAAAAAGGAACTTAGAAAAAAAAAAATAAGAATAGGAAACAACTCTTGGGCCAGTCAAATAGCTCAGCAGATTAAAGTGCCTGCAAGCAGGTACAGGGGCCGGAAGTTTGATCCCCAGGCCTGCCGTGCCGGCCCCAACCCTGGGGTACGCTGAGCCAGCAATTGAGACTGGGTGTGGTGGCACATGCCTGTAATCCCAGCTCTTGGGAGGCTGTAAACAGGCAGATCACTATGAGTCCGATCTAGTAGTGACACCCTGAACACCCTGTAGATCCTTCCCTAAACTACAAAAAGAAAAAATAAAAATAAAAAAGAACTCTTATCTATACCACTGCATCCTCATACTCTGGTGTGAAGACTTATTAAAACAGACTGCTGGGCCCAATCCAGAGTTTCTTTCTTTTTTTTTTTTTTTTTTTTTTTTTTTTTAAGTACCAGGGATTGAACTCAGAACCCTGCACTTGCCAGGCAATGCTTATTCTACTGAGCTATCTCCCCGGCCCCTCCAATCCAGAGTTTCTGATGAGGAGTTGGAGACTATTTTTCTCAGTGACACCACAGATGCTGTTGAACCAGCACACTGGAACCACACTGAGAACTGCTGTTTTACATAACTTAACTATGAAAATTTGTAATTACTGAGCTGCTACAGTAAATTCCACAAAAATATAATTTATTAGTATCATAAGTATGTGGTTAATAATACTACCTAAGATGTATTTGAACATTAAGCTAATAATGTTAGTCAATTATTATCAATAATTGAAAGAATTGGATAGGGATTGTCAATTAACATCAGAGGCTCTATTTCAACCTCAATAATATGTCGTAGGGGCCGGTGAGATAACTCAGTAGACTAAACATCTGCTTAGGCAAGTGCAGGGACCAGGATTTGATCCCTGGTATCACATGCAGCGCAGGCCCCAATCCCAGGTGTGCTGAGCTGTTGACCGAGTCCAGGCATGGTGGCGCATGCCTGTAATCCCAGTGCTAGGAGGCTGTAAACAGGAGGATCACTACAAATTCTAACATTTGTAATAAGACCCTGTACCAAATATATTTTAAAAAAAAATAATATGTCTTCTAACTTCTCAGACTTCCTCCAGGTTTTTATTTATTTATTTATTTATTTATTGAGAAATCAGTAGGAATTTCTTGAAACCTCCACAGTATTTTCTAGAACAATCTGGAAAGGCAATTTATGTATGGTCCTGGAGCCAATTTTTTAAATGAACTTTTACTTTTTTAATAAGGAAAAAAAAAAAAAAAGAAAGCAGTTTTCAGTTTCCCATACTGGCAAGATAATGGGTGTCCTCCAACCCTGGCCCACATCCTGGAGGAACCAGCAGGACTGAAACCAGAAGCAGGCAGCACAAGGACATGCAGCAGTCTCACACCTACCTCTGTTCGGGATGACCAGCTTGCAGGGCAGAGCCAGTGGGATGATGGAATGCTGGTAGACTAGGGCCGACAGGGAGCCTGCAGTGGGGAGACAGCCTTTCAGGGGCTGAGCCGGCAAAAGTGGGGCAACCCCAACCCACCCCCACGAGGCAGCATCTTCAGCCTTTGATTTTATTATTGCAGAACTGGAGTCAAACCTAAGCCTCAGAACAAGCTACAGAAGTAGTCTTCTACTGAACTATACCTCCAGCCCTCAGCTTTTTACTACCCCTCGACCCTCTAACATGGCTTAAAAACTCACTCCCTTTTAGCAAGATCCAAGGAAGAAGATGCCTAAGTCCATTCTGGAAGCCATAGGTGACCTAATTAACCTCCTGTATAGAAAGTCCCCCTCCCACATCTCACCTAAGTCCTCTAATTAGCAGGGACCTCCCTGAACAGAACAACAGCAGTGAGGGCAACTGGGGAGTCAAGTCCCAGCTCCATCGCTTACTATCTATGCGCTCTTGTCTCAGTCTAAGCTCCCTTGCATATCAAATGGGAACAGTGACATTTACCGCACAGGAATATTGTGAGATCTGAATCAGCATAAGGAGCTAGACAGGGTGTGCCGCACAGGACTGGGCAGTGAGGGCAGATGTTGTGGCACTTGTTCTAATTACAGTTATGATTGGTCACAGCAGGGCAAGACAATACAGAAAGGAAGCTAGTGGGGTCAAGGAGGTGCTGTCCAGAGGGAGGAAAGCTACCATTCCTCTTTGCTGCCAAGTCTATGATGCACAAGACTGGCAGAGCGCATGAACTTGGGCAGACCCAAGGGCCCTGGGGATGTAGCTGAGACTGTAACCACACCACAGTGACAGAGGCAGGGGAAGCTCACCAAAGTTCGGCTCATTGGGGCAGCCCTTGAGCTTGACACCCCTGGGGCCGGTCTCTATTAGGAAGTGCCGCACCAGCTCGTGGGCCATGTCTCCTTCAATGAAGAGAGAGAAAGAGTTGGTCACTTTAGCTTCAAGGCACCCTCAACCCAGCTCCCAACACTGCTTCCCAACTTCTGCAGGATCCGGGGACAGGATGTGAGGAGGTGCACAGAGACAAGATGGCTAGAACCTGCAGGATGGGGACACACGCTCCTTTCCCACCCTTCCAGGAAGCCACCACAGCCCTGACCCTGCTTCCCTGTTCTCTGGCACCACCTTTGCAAGCCCAAGACTGGCTCTTCACAAAAGTCACACTAATAAGGGACCAGATCCCTTAAGAATTGGCCTCACACTTGGCACTTGTGCCTGACAACACCTGGGATAGAGATGTCAACGTCCCTGGCTCATTCTGGGAGATGCTGGCACCTTTTTTATTCTGCTGCATGATGGTCGGAGGTGGTGAAGACACCTTCATGGCCAGCCCATAGGCCCCTCGGAAGGAGTGACTGTCACGGATGATGAAGGCCCCTGGCTCCTGATCCTTGAGGAGTGCAATGGCTAAAATCGGGAGGAGACACAGAAAGCAGAGGAAATAAGAAATCAAGAAAAAAAAATAGGGCCAGCCTGATAGCTCAGCAGACTAAAGCACCTGCTTGGGCAGAGTGGAGCGGCTGGGGTTCGATTCCCACTGAGCCATGCTGGCCCTGCCCCTGGGGTACACTGAAATGGCTATTGAGACTGGGCATAGTGGTGTACACCTGTAATCCCAGCACTTGGAATCGCTGACTCTGATCTACATAGTGAGACCCTGAACACCCTGTAGACCCTTCCTTAAATACATGAAAAAAAAAAGAAAAAGAAATCAAGGACACTGGCTTTGCCTACATCCTACAGGGCCTCCCGTACTTCATTATCTCTCGGGTGATAATGACATTCAACATTCTTGAATGTCAGAATTTAAACACTCCTGAGAGTCATCCTGTACCAATGTAGACAGACTTCACTGTAAGTGACCACACATTAAATATGTCAGGCTCTGCAGGCCTTATAGTCTGTTGTGACTACTCAAGCCTGCCTCAGCAGCAGGAAGCAGTCAGAAGACATATAGACAGGTATGTCTGTGTGTCCCAATAAAATTTTATTTGCAAACTCAGGCAGCTGTCAGGTGAGACACATCTGCAGACTTTCTTTGGGGACCCTGGCATGGATTTAATCTCCATTTGCACATTTCCAACTTCATTTTTTTTTTTAATGCAACCTTTGCTCACAGAGCTAACAGAGCTACAGCTTGCTACCATCCTGGCTGATTATCTTCCTTCCTCACAAAGCCATGGCTTCCCTTGACCTTTTCAAGGAGCATCCACTACCCCATCTGCCATCCTCTTTTCCACAGGAAGTGCTTCTGTCTGCCTTTATTCCACCCACCTCTGTGATCAGCACCTATGGAACAAGTCCATTCTACATGTTGTCATGGGCAGACATGGTGGGCAGCAGCTGGGACAGCCCACAGAACCCCCAGCACACTCAGCACTCACCCTGCTCTCTAGAGATCTCAGGCTTATACCAATATTTGGAAGTGTCCTGGACAAATTTCACTTTAGCTCGTGTCTCTGGGCTGTTGTCTAGAGGAAGAGAGGAAAGGAAAAAAGTGTCATGGCTTGAATTGTGTCCCCCAGAGAGATATACTGAAGAACCCTAAGACTTCTAAGTGTGGCCTTATTTGGAAATAAGGCCATCAAATTTTGTAGATGTCATCAACTGAAGATAAAATTATGCTGGATTAGGGTGAGCCCTGAGTCAATGAGATTGGACTCCTAAAAAGAAGGGACCCAGAGACAGCACCATTTGAAAGCAGAGGCAAAGATGGGCTGATGCATCTACAAGCCAAGGAACACAGGGGATGACCCGCCACAGGAGGAGCCTGGGACAGGCCTGCAACAGACCCTCCCCTGGAGCCTCCAGAAGGAACCAACCACCAACACCTGAACTTTGAACCCCTCAGCTCCATTCCTGTGACAAAATCCAGGGCTGTAGTTTTGAGAACCAAGTACGTGACACTTCGTATGATGGCCACAGGAAACCAACAGAGAAAGCCAGTGTCCTCCAACACCGCAGAGTGTAATAGCAAGGAATGGAGAGAGTGGTTGCCTCCTGCCAACCATCCTGTTGTGATGAGCTGCCCTGATGAAAAGCTGGCCCGACATCCTCACTGAGCCAACCAGCAGCCTTCCCCCAACCTCTCTTCTTCCAGAAGGTTCTGGAGTAGCCTTGCCCCAGCTTCCTTCCTGAGAGCTAGACACCTTCCCCAGGCCCTCTTCCCAACTGCAGCACAACAATGGGAGAGGACAAACACAGAAAGATTCATCCCTATCATGCCCTGGCCTTTGCCAAAGCTGGTGTCCTTCATTTCAGAAGGCAAAAAATCACTGCTGCCCCGGAACCAACACGGAAGGGCTGTCCTAGAACCTAAAGTCTATCTAGTTGCACATAACATATATGACAGGTTACTGTCAACCACAGTCACCCTGCCACACTGTATACCACTAGGGATTATCCTCCTGTCTGTGTTCCTTCATTTGCCACAAAGAAAAAGGTGGTGTGGGGAAGAGATAAGGAGGAAGAGGGGAAAAAAATTCCAATTCCACATTTTTCCTCTGCAGTGTTTGGGGGAGAGGCTGGAACACGGGGCCCTGTGCTAAGAGAGCTGCCAAGGTCGGCGAGCTGACTGGGAAACCCTTTCCCAGGGCTCCATCCAGTTCCACCACCATTTCCCTTCCCTTCCTCGGGCTCTGGGCTCTGTCTCTGGAGGCTGGGGAGGAGGAACAATTAGCTCCTCTGCTGGGAGAGGCAGCTGGGCTGGGCGAGGGCTGCAGGCTACTTGTTCCTGCTCTACAGCCTGGGCCACTGCCGCCATCCGCCTTTTAACGAGCTGTCAGAGGCAGCCACAGTCCCATGTGCCTTCCCATGTTGACTCCAAAGGCTATTTTAAGCAGCGAAGATGGTGGGAAACAGGAAACATCCCAACTACTAGAAGTTTTGCATCCTTCGAGGAGAGGCGCTGGGAACCAGATGTCCCCCGTAGGCGGCAGGAAGCAGGGGGGTGTGCAGGGTCACCCTAGGTGTCCGGCCTCGGCAGGCTTAGGGCAGGACTGGGGAATGACATGGAGCAGAGCTGGGTGGCTGGTCCCTTCCAAGGCTGCCTGGGACACTTCACATCTGCCTCACACATGTGGGGCCTTGGGGCCACTCTGCACCCAGCCAGGGCAGAGGGCAGCCTGAGGGGCTGAGGTTGACCCAAGGCTCTCACTTCTCTGATGTTCGATAAGGAACTCCCTAGGGAGGAGGTGAAGGGCTTCTTACAGGATTCCAGGAAGTGAGAGAGAACTCTGGCCCTGAGAAGACATCCAGCCCCGCAGCCATGACCCATGTCACACCTGGTGGCCAGACCTATTATCACCGACGTGCACAGTGGGGCTAGCGAAAGGCATCATGGCCTGTGTTCACAAGATACCTCTGTGAAGTTCTGCTACATCACAACAGCCCAAGTGACAGGACACACAGTCAGGCACAGTGGAATGAGCCCACAGTCCCAGCACTCTGGCAAGTCAGGCAGGAGGACCTCAAGTTTAAACCCAACTGGGTAACTTAGCCACTTAGCTAGATGGTGCCTCAGAATAAAATGTAGAAAAGAACTAGGGCTACAGCTCAATCTCCAGCCCCAGAAACAAAATAAATGGACGCATAATGAAGACAACAGGGTAGTGTGGGCCAAGACTGGAAAGCCTAGCTCTGCCACTCGTGAACTGTGCAACTCTGGGCAGATGACAAAGCCCTTGGAAGCCTCACCTTGCTCCTGGCATAAAGTTGGACTAAGGGAACCTCACCAGGGAGACCTGATGATAGCACTTAGTTCTGAGGCTGCCATGTAACCTGTGCCCAACAAACAGTTGTGACCACGAGGCCTTTGCACCAGCCAGGCTATCAATATTACCATTACCGGCCCTCATTAACAGCCACATTCTGAGACACCTCCAACTCTTGTTACACAGACAAGGAAACTAAAGCCCAGAAATCAGGGACTTTGCTAAGGTCCTCTGCCAAGGGATGCTCAGCATAACGCAGACTGATCTGTCAACAAGAGAGGGACAAGAGCAGGAGGAGAGCCCTACCTGGCATGGAGTACTTGGAAAAATCAGGTAGAGTGTGGGAGAAGGAGACCGTGCTGCCCCCACTGGGACTAGACATGCCACTGGTGACAGGCGAGGAGGACACTTTCCCGTTGACGGTGGCATAGTTAGGGAGGCTGCCAGCCCGATCTCCCACTGACATTCTCCGCTTCTCTGGCAGAGCTGGCGTTGGGCTCCCTTGGCGGAAGGCTGCAGAATCTGGTGAGGGTGAGGTGCCTGGGCTACTCAGGCCAGGGTAGTAGGCAGGGGAGACAGGGAAGGAGGGCGTGGAAGGAGCCTGGTAACCAGAGGCACTGCTCTGCCGGGACAGTGTGGGTCTGCGGTCCTCGGGAGTAGAGTAGCCACCATAGGCCACATGCCGGTCCAAGCTGGGGCTGCCAGGAACCACAGATCCAGACCCTCCCAGGTGACGGCCCAGGCTGGGACTTCCAGGGCTGGCTACTGCATTTCCATGGACACTGGGGGCCAGGCTGCCTTGGTGGGCCCCAGGATGCCGGCTCAGGCTGGGGCTCCCTGGAGTGGATGCTGCACTGCTAGGATGGCTGGAAACCGTGTTACCATGGAAACCAGGGCCTGCTGGACCCATCACTTGGCGATGACTCAAACCAGGACTGCCAGGGGCAGTCATGGCGGGGTTGATGGCTCGCCGGCCAAAACCAGGACTTGGGGGAGTATTGGTGCCCACTGTCCTGTGGCGGGCCTGGGGGCTCCCTGGCACCATATGGACGCTGGCCATGCTGTGCTGAGGCCGGGCCTGGCTCTCTGGAGAGGAGTTGAATTGCTGAAGTGAGTAGTCAGGGCTGCTATAGCTGCTGCCCACAGTCGGGAGAGGAGAAGGGCTCTGGTAACTTCTCTGGGCCACAGGGCTGGGCTGGCCCAGGCTGCCGGAACGGAATCCAGAATCCAACAGGGGCTGGGTAGGTGTCCGGGGGCCCTGATCGCTGCTCTCCCCTGATGGAAAACTTCCCACTGAAGTGCTAGAGAGACAACAAGATGAGAGGTCAGCATACGGTATTTAGTGAAGGGGACTCTCGAGGAGTGCTCAGGCTTCCTCCCTGCCCCAATAGCAGCAATGACAGCTCTGCCTGCAGTGGCTTAGAATGTTAAGGGCTCTCTACATTACCTCAAGGGACCATCAGAAGAAGAAACTGTAGGTCAGAGGGGTGAAACAAGAAGCTCAGACCCACCCAGTTTGTAAAAGCCCACAGTCTCTGCCCACTATGTCTGTTTGCAAAGTCCACTGTTTCCATTATGCCCTGCTGACTCCTGAGCCGAAGGAATCTTCCATGCCTGAACTAAAGGTGACCATGCTGTTGTGGTCTCCAACATCACAGAACCTCACCATGGAGGGCGAATCAAGCCATCTGGCTTCTGAGCCCACCCTAGCCCACCTTGGCCTAATTTCTCCATGTGTGTTGCCACCGTCCTTAAGTACTGAGATTACTGTCACTGGGCTTTCACTCTAGGGGGCTTCAGAACCAAGAAGAAATGGAATCATGGGGAAGAATTCCAAATTGGGGGATTTCAACTCACTATAAAGTCTACTTTCCATCCACAGAATCTGACCCCTAAGGGAGCAAGCTACGTTGAGTGGTGAAGAGGCCCCTGTCATGAGGAGCATTCAAACAGAGGCTCACAGACCTACTGGCCTGAATGCTATGGAAGGAATTCCCTCCATGGGGAAGTTAGGTTAAGTGAGCTCAGAGGACCCTCCCAGCTCCAAGATCCTGATAAAATTCGGTTCACAGGGGAGTATATCTGGGGTAAGAGTCACAAGGCTCTGCTGTCATGTCAGAGGTGGTCCATACAGTGACACAGCATCATGGCCTGGCCCATGGGCTAGGGAGCCAGCATTCTCCTTACTAAAAATGTTTTCCATGTGGAAAATGGGGGTCTGGATGAGTCAACCCTGATTCCCTCCAAGTGTGAACTCCTCCCAACTATGATACAGCAGGTGAGACAAAAGGCTGCCAGTGCCCAGGAGAACAACAGCTACAGAGGGGGCAGGTAGGCTTGCACCTGGAGCCCAGGGGAAAGAAAGGGCCTCACACTGCCACACTCCCTGGCAGAGCCAGCCAGCCCCTCCCTGGGCTCCCTGGAGAGCAGGAACCAAGAGCAAGGAGGTCAGGGACCAGGCAAGGACTAGCTCCACCCTACGTCCTAAAGGGGGCAGAGAAGAATGCTGCCTCCTGCCAGCAAATAAAAAGAATGAGAAACAGCAGGAAGCACCAGGGTGAGCAACATGGGGATGGGCTGCTAAACCAGAGTTCTGGAAGATGGATCCCGCGAGAATGCTGGCTTCCGGACTCCTGTGAAGAGCCAACACTACTGTAGCAGGAACTGGGGTGAAGAGCAGGGAGAAGTTCCCAGGGCCAGGGCTCACATCAGGTCAGCCCTGGGGACTGGGGTAAGTCAGGGAAATCCCCAGCGCCTGGCCTCTTCTGCTTCGTCAAGAGACTGGGGAGGTGCAGGGTAGTTGGCTGTGCTGGGCGGGGTGGGGCATGCTTGGCTCAAGGCTTCAGAGCATCCCCAGCTGTATCCTGACTTGGGCGCCTCACTGCACCAAGCAATGGCCTCACTGTAGGTAAATAGGGGCCTTGCCCACGGGGCTGCCCAAAGAAGTCGGGAGGAGAAGGGATCAGGAGTTGTAGGCTTCATGGAATCCCAAGCCAGAAGGGAGATAGGGTCCAGAAGGGATGATCTCCCCAACTGGGGCAAGGTCCCGCCAGGCCTGATCCTTCTGTAGGCCTGGCCCAAGCCAGGCCATTTCCCTCTCCAAGGCATGGAGTCTTCACTCCCACACAGACAAGCAGCTTCTCACCACTTCAAGCACTGGCCCTCTCTCCTCAGCTGCCAGCAGGGCCTGGCCAGCTCCCCTGCCCATTTCTGGCTTCCCTCCAATGTACCCAGGTAGATGTCAGCATGCACCCATCACCTCACTCGTAGGTTGTGGAAACCCAGCCACCCATACCCTCATCCGTCGCACCCCAGGCTCAATCCCTCTGTGCGGTCCTTCCCAAGGGCTCTCTCTCTTCACCCCTTGACATCCTGCTCATTGCCCTGGTCTCCCCACAAAGAGCTCCAGCCCTCAGAAATCCCTTAGGCTTCTTTGGTCAGGAAAAAGGGCTCTTGCTCTGAGCTCCAAGCTCTTTCCTTCTCCAGATGTGGACACATCTGGCTCTCATTCCAAGAAGGGCAGCACCAAGATGCAGGGAAAGGGGGTTAGAAGACAGAGAAGGCTCCAGAACCACATGCCTTTGGGCTGCATCCTATTTCTGACACTGCTTAGCAGGAGAGCCTTGAGCAAGCAGCTTCATCTGTTTGCCTAGTTTCCCCTTCTGCAAAGTAGTAACCGTGCTTACCTCCTAGGACTGCCACGAAGATAATTGCACAGAGCACACAGGGCAGTGCCCGGCGCCTAGGCATGCAGCACTTGCTACATGCATTACTAGATTTTAGTGCTTTTAAATTTTTTATTGGCTTATTTCTGTGGTACTAGGGATTGAACCCAGGGCCTCTGCATTGAGCTATGACCCCAGCCTTTTATATTGTTTAACACTGGGTCTTATTAAGCAGGTAAGATTTCCCAGGCTAGCCTCAGACTTTCTATCCTCCTGCCTCAGCTTTCCAGAATGCTGAGATTACAAGTGTGCACCACCACACTCAAATTTAGGTTTTAAACTTGAAACACTTTCATCCCTAACGCTGGTCCATTTCACTCCTTCCATCACCACAGTGGGCGGATGGGGTTAAAGGCAGTCTTTTGGGAATCAGAGCTCGCTCATCCCGGACACCCCAGAACACTAGGGCTTAGGCCATGCTCTTTCAAAACCCCATGATGAGAGGTTCACAAGGGGTAGCAATCTAGACATGGTTTCTACCCACCCGCACCCTAGGCAGCTTCACCCCAGGCAGATTCCCGGACTCTTCTCCCAGCCCAGGTCTGGATTCTCATTCTCACAAGCACACTCCCCACTCCCGGCTTACCTGTCAGCGCTGAGGATGGGGCTGCTGGTGGAGAGGGGGCTGGGGGAGACAAAGGAGCTGCCCAAGGTCCCGTTCCTCAGCAGGGTTTCCTGGCCATAGGCCTGGGCAGCTGGGGCGCTGAAGCTCTTGGGCTCAGTGTCCTGAGCTTGGGGCCTGGCCACTGCTGTCCGTGCCACCGACTCTACATAACTCCGGGGCTCTGGAAGGGGCAAGGGACAGAGACTGAGTGCAAATCCCAAGGGGTGAAGTACAGACACCACCCAGCCTGCCAAGAAACACAGCCTTCCTGTGTCCAGCCTGGGGAAAGACAGCTCAGAAATGGATTCGCATGGGTCCCCATGATGCTGGGGCACTCTCCCTGAGGCACCCAAGACAACCTTCAACCTGAACCTGGCATGAAAAAGCATTTCCAAATGGACCCCAGATGGCCCCTGCACATGGCCATCAGAAAGCCTTCCCACAAACCCCTAGAGCACCCAGATATCTGTCCATGGCTGGTATCCTTGTGGCCACACCTTTCCTTCCATGATGCTGCTGCCTGGCCCACCAGGCCCCGCTGGAGTCTGTGACTGTAGGGTGGACAGAGAGTTCTGCCCTACCTCGGGACAGCTCCTGGCCTCCACACACCCAGAATGCAGAAACAAGCTTGCTCACCTAGCAACAGGCCAGCACCGTGAGCCACACCCAGCAAGACACCACCCACCTCCGCCTGGCACGCTGAGCATTCCTCCAGGGAAACCGTGCCAGACAGAGCTGGACATTCTGTGCCCACCTCTGGCATTTCTGAAGCACTGGGCAGCTCCCAGAGCACACTCGCACACATTCTCCCTGCTGGCATTGGGAGCAGCCCAAGCAGAGGCTGCGAGGGAAGGATGGAGCCAGAAAGGCCATTTCACAGAGGGGGCCCGGAAACTAGCTCCATGTTAACAGTAAGAGTAAGCAGGGCACTCAGCTGCTCCAGGACCGTGATTAGGGATCGTGAGGTTCCTCTACCTGCAAACCTGCCATGCTCACTATCAGATATGGGAAGGACCATAGCTGACACAGAGCCCGATTCTGCCACACTTGAGCATCAGCTGAAACCAGCCCGAGACTCTGAGGCATAGGGACACAGCACCTGTGCACCCCTATGGCTTAGGCCCTGCACCCTTTGCTGGTCAGGACTGTGATGGTCACCAAATCAGCAAAAAGAGCACTGGGATAGAGGTGACCAATATGGACCCTCTCTCCCCTGAGCTCCAACAAGACCTCATTTAGGAAGGAAGGGCAGCAAGATCTCTTTGTAAATGCCCAGCTTCCTTTCCAGGTGGTCCAGGCCAGACTTCCTCTCCCAGACCTACAGGACTCCCTAGCATTGACAGAGGACAGTGCTTCCAGCCTTGGCCCTGTGCAGAAGGGCCCTAGAGGCCTGGGAGATACATGTCCACAGGAGTGGGTGCGGGGAGGTCTATTCAAGATACAAGGCATGGGGTACCATACATGCAGCCACCTAGGTACCTAGACTCATGAGATGAGCCAGCAAGGCCCCCTGTCTTAAAAACATCCCTCAGCAGCCCAGGCTACCACCCACCTCAGGATGCCCCAGGCCAACTTGGTGCCAGAGGCTTGGGTTCCATGCCAGAGGAGCAAAGGTCCTCTGACCCAGGGCCATAATGCAATTTTGGGAAGGACCCAGTGGTATACATGGTAGGTCTGTTAGGTAAGACTTTCTGTGTGGCAATTGCACAACCCTGTTGCTGTAGTGTAAAAGCATCTGTAGACAACAACAAGCCAGTGGGTACAGTTGTGTTGTAATAAGTTTGTTTACAAAAATAGGTAGCAGGAGGGGCTCGGCCAGCTGCCAGTTTGCTGACCCATGATCTCAACGGTCTCATCAGCCCAGAGAGGTCAATTTGCCCTTAAAACGCAATCAGTGGGCATGTACACCATGACCCCAGAGCAAGTTCTGGGTGCCCCAGAGTGGGCCCACAGTCTTACATGGGTACCTGCAGGTGACTGCTCCCCACCCACCAGCCTGTCAGCCAGAGGAGTACCAGCTCCACAAAGTTATGTGTAGATAAAATTAGCAAATGATCATGTGAGGAAAGTAGGACTTGGAGAATGTAAATATCTTGCCCTGATCACAGAGCTAGCAAATGGCAGAGCTGGCTCAGCAACCAATCAACTGGAAAAGAGTCTGACCCTCCTTTGAACATAGAACCATGAAGTTAGGGAGTCAGTGGTCTCAGTGTGGCTTTAGGAGGAACTCCTCCTTGCCCTGGGGTAGTAACCTAGCTTGGCAGAGGGACCATTGGAAGGTACTTCATCTGCAGAAAAGCTAAGATGACCTGGCCAGAGCCCACCCTCCCCTCCCAGTCCTCACTGCCCACCCACCTCTCTCTCCCTCTGAATACTTCCTGACCCTTCCAGATAGATGCTCAGTGCATCTTCCCCCACTTCCCACAGTGCACAGCAACCCTGCTTTCTACCTGAGACAGCATGATGATCCTCCTTTCCTTTCTTAAGTGCCCAGAGCCTGCCTGGCTAATAGGTCTTTCCAGTACCTCATACAGAGCAGATAACTTCCCACTCCTGAGCCACAGAAAGCCTGAGGAGTTCTGGCCGTGGTGTGTGTCTACCCCACCAATCACAGATGCACAACCCTGGCCCTCCAGCCCCATGCAGTGAGAGGTGTCCAAAGAGGCCTAAGAGATCCACGATCCCTGGAGCCTAGGCTGGAAATGACACAGATGATGCCCAAGAGTCCATGCTCTCCTCGGGCCCCCTTCTCCATCCTCATCCTCTCTCTGACCTCATCTGCATCCCTGGAGAAAGCAAGCATCCGCTTTCTCCCACCACATCACCCCCTTATCCTGTCGTTCCAGGAAGGACTATCAAGAGATGAGCAGGAGGGAAAGAGAGGCGACATCGCTGCTCCCTCTATGCAAGGCCACAGTTGGTCCCCACCCTCTCCTTCAGGCTGTGCTGCTTCCTCAGGCCTAGGGTGGCAATGGCTCCCTACTCCTGCCAGGGGCAGCACGTGGTATGTGACATTCTTCACAAATTTGCCCAGACTTTTAAACAGTCCATTAAACCTTCCTTTAGTTGCGCCACTATGAGCCACTGGCTTTCCCACATGTTGGGTGAGCAAGACCTTGACCCACACATTGGGTGAGCGACACCAGTATCCCACACTTCCCTTTAAAAATGCATGAACCCCTCTACTAAATAGGAACCCCAGAGAAGGCCCCGTAGTTCACTTCCAGCCCACCCAGCAGCTGCAGCCCCAAGAGGAAGGACAAGTCTACATGGCAGGCTGGAGGAACCCCACATTAGGGGTCCTGGGGATGGGAAATGGGAAGTTGGCCATGTCCTTGTGGCCTGTCTCGTGGCCACTACCCTAGCCACAGGAAGGCAGAAGAGCTCTCCAAGGACTAGGAGTCTGAACTTGAGGAACTGGATGGAAATGGGGAGAAGGAGCAGTGTGTGAGGGTGCCGTGATGTCCAGAGACACCCCATGTGTCAGGTGACCACACAGAGCCCAGCCCCATTTGGCGCCCGCACGTTGCTTTCTACGGTTTGTCCTCGCCGAGAACTGTAAGACCAAGTCCAGGGCCCAGTGTCGGTTTCCCCAAGTTTCCAGACTGATTTTCATATGAAAATACTTCCTTTCTCTATCTGCCCCTCAGCTTTCTGTCCCCTTTCCACCTTAGGATTGTATACTAATACTTGTGGGCTTCCCCTTCTTTCTGACTAGAACCTTTCCTGCCTCAGTTTCTTCATCTGTAAAGTGGGAACAATAACATCCATCGGAAGTAGATGAAATATCAGGAGGCAGAAACTTCCTTCTGATTTTTGCTACTTCCGGCCTGTCACAACGGTCAGAACCACTTACCCTTGCTTAAGCCCCAGGCTAGGCCACTCCAGCCTCCCCGGCCCTGGGCACCCTGCAGCTTGCTTCCTCTCCACCAATTCCAGGCAGCTGTACCCAGGCAATGGAGCTAGGAAGACTGGGAGGGGTACATTCCAGGAACCCAAATCATTTCAAGAGGCTGGTGGCACTCAAAGCAGCTGGAAACACAGAAGGGACTGGGCTCCTCCAGCCTGGGATGCCCTCCACTCCTCCCCAACACCCTCAAGTGTACTGTCAGCCTCCTGGAAAAAAAAAACTCTGGCTGGGGAGGGGGCCACCTTGAGCAAAAGCAAGACATGTAGGGGCTGGGGGGGGGGGTCAGCTTGGTGATAGCGCACCCGCTAACACTTGGGAGGCTCTGGGTTTGATCCCCAGCACTGGAGGAAGGTGAGGGGATGAAAGAGAGGAGTGAGGAAGGAGCAGAAGAGAAAAAGAAAAGGAAAAGACAAAAAGACAACAGTGACTTCAGAGGAGGAAGAGACATGTGAGTGGTGGAGAGGAGATGGAGGAAATAAACAAATACCCAAGTTCGGATCCAGGAGCTCGGAGTTAGAATTTCACACAGTTTGGATGGCCCCCATCACACGGCTTCCCACGCTAGCTCAGCACTTCTGCCTGGTCTTGGGATGCCTGAGGCCTCCCCACCTCCCCAAGCTATCTCACCCTTCTCACCCTCTCAGGGCCAAGCACCCAGATGCCCCGGGACACTAGGCACCAGGAGTCCAGAAAGAAGAAGAACCCCTAGAGGCCGCCTCTAGTCCAGCATCTTCCTCTGAGCCAAGCTGTCCACCCCACATGACCTGGACAAAGACAACCTACCCTGAGTGCCCCCTGCCACGGGAAGCCACTCCTGATGCCAACCTCGCATCTTGTGCTCTCCTTCCCTCGCAGAGAGGGCTCTACGTCCACACACCCAGCAAAGGTACTGCTCAGATGTCGAAGTGTCCCTTGTCCCCAGTGCCATCACGTGGGAAGGGATGGCCTCCACAGGCTGATGGCGCAGGCTCTCAACCGTGTCCCTGGCTAACCGCAGCGGGCCTGACAAGTCATGAAACCTCTTGGCAGTAGAATGTGGTTCCTACTGCTTTCTTCTCGGTACTCCTGTGACTACTAAACAAGACGCAATGAGGACCCACATGGCCCAGCTCCTGTGGGCTGTCACTCTGTACCGCACATCCCTCACTCAACTCTCAGAAGCATGCTGCCACTTCCTACTACGGGGCCTTTGTGCACGCCACCAACACGATACTCCTTCTCACCCCATGGCCTTTTTCCACCCTATTCCCCTCTGTTCTTCTCCTAGCTGAGTTCCACCAAGTTAGCATAGAGCATGTTCTTCGCAGTAAGTTCTCATAAAATCGTCTCCCTTCCCTCCCACTCACCGAATACATAATTCTGAGTGATCGTTTAATTCTGGCTCCTGTTTGTGCATACACTCTGAGAGGTTCAGAGCCGTATCTTACACTGCTTATCATTATATTCCCAGAGCCTTGCATGATGCCTGGCACACAACAGCCCCCGAAACTAATGATTGACTCAATGAAAACAAGAATGCATGAATGTATTTAACACAGTGACGCAAACAGAGCAGCAGCCTCCAGATCCTTCATTTCCCTCTGCTGAATAATTTGGCCACTGGTGATTTTTTATTTACTTTCGTCTTTTTGAGACAGAGTCTCACTATGCAGTTCAGGCTGGCCTTGAACTCATTTCGTAGCTCAAGCTAGCCTTCAACCTGCAGTGATTCTCCTGCCTCAGCCTCCCAAGTGCTGGGATTATGGGCCTGGGCCACCACGCCCATCCCCCCTGGTCACTTTCCCTCACAGGCCTCTTTTCCTGAATTTCCCGTCAGAGGAGAAGCAGGAAAGTCATGCAGACAGACCTTCTGAGAGTCAGAAAACTGTGCTCTGGTCTGGGCCAGGCTTTGCAGCCCGAGTTAGGAAATGCGGAACTGCCCCCCAGCCTTGTTCCTTGCCCTGCTCCCTGCCCTCCACCCACGCCCAGGCAGCAACTTGATTCCCATGCTGGGGTCCCAGGGCACTGAGGCAGGAAAGGCTCTGAAAGGGCCGCTTCAGTCACAGCCAGGAGATCCACAATGCCTCCTCCACCCCACCACTAACACAAACCCCAGCTCCCAGTCAGGGATGACACCAGGCTGGCTAGGAATGTTGCCCTCCAAACTTCGTGACTCAAGACAGATGGGAACCTGGGGTCTCACAAGGTGAGAGTCATTTATGAGGTACACTTTATGGGTCTCCGCTCAGCGCTGTCAACACTTGCTCCTCTGTGGCACTGAGAGGAGCCCAGGTCCTTGTGTATGTATGCTAGGTAGGTGCTCTACCACCGAGCCCCAGCCCCAGCCTAACACTTGCTCTTCACAGCCACCAGGACCTGTCATCAACCCTCTCTGGTGAACATCTGAAAGCATACCTTGTTCGTGGGGGCTGGGAGCCTCCTCTGTGTCCCAGGTCTGAAGCTCAGATTCATAGCTGTGGACCCTGTCTATCCCAGCCACCCCTTCCCAGCTCCACTGCACGCCACTGCTAGGAGCCACATGTAAACCTCCCAGGCCAGCACCCCTTCGAGTCACCCACTGCTCCAGTCCTCATGAGACTGCTGCCGGAGCTTTCCACTAGAGGCTGTCCCCCTCCTGCTATGTGCACCACACAGGGTTCATCAACGCAGGACTCAGGCCAGGACTCACAGCTACCTAACTCCTCCAAACTGCTTCCCAGAATAATGTGCACAGGCATCTTGATGCTTTGGTCCAGGGTGTGTATACAGCTTTCCTGGAGCCCCCTGGGGTGTGTGAGATCCCAAAGAGGCAGACTGCCTACTTTCATGGCTGGTAGGAAACTAGAAGAGGCTTCCAAAGGGCAAGAGGTGGCTCTATGATGGTGGCTCTGAACCAAGGGCAATTACTTCCCCAGGCGACACTGGTCATGTGGAGACACTTTCGGTCGTCATGGCTGGGTGAGTGCTACTGATGTCTGGCAAGCAGAAGCCAGAGACGCTGCTCAGAGCCTACAGGCCCGAAGGAGCGCCCTGCTGACAGCCGGTCCTATCTGCCTCTGGGTGGCTGCACACCCGGCAGGTAGGTGCAAATGCCGCAGGAGAGGAAGTGGCAGGAGGGTGCTTTTGTCAACAAGGTGACACCACATTGAGGCCTGGACACCAGCTGCCCCTGAATGGGTGCCCAGTGGTGACAAGCTCCCCAGGCAGCATTCAGGCAGTGCCAAGAGCTGGGGACAGGAAGGCTGAGTGCCTGGTCACTTGAGACCAGGTAAGAAGAGAGGGCTGTCCCCCAGCCAACTGTGTCAAGTCCTGCGTGCAAAGCCATTCGCAAGAGAGCAGGAGTGGCCACACATAAACCCACACTTACCATCTGGAAGCTCAGCCACCTCCTTTCCCTCATTTTCCTCTGAGGGAAGAGGAGAAGAGAGACAGGAAAAAGGGTCAGGTGATGAAGATGAGAGGAGGAGCCAGCAGGAGAAAGAGAGAGAGATTGGTTATCAAGGAGCATTCTGGAGAAAGAACTGAATTTGCTGAGGAAAGAAAGGCGGAAAGGGGAGGCTAAGGAGAAGCCTCCAAGAGCGGGCTAAGCCCACTCTGCACCAGACCCCAGGAGTCTAGGGCACAACCTGAGACCTTGGCTCTCAGGAACCTGTCTCTGTCACAGCCCCTGTGCCCAAAGCTTGCATAGCTGAGTCTCAAGCAGCAGCACTGGGCAGTGAGAGGCAGCCCAGCCCCCTTCTCTCCCCCTGTGGCTCAGTGTCCCTGGTCATGCCAACACCTCAGTGGCAGGCTGTGCCCTGGCCAATGTCTATGCAGGTCACAAACACATGCTGCTGCCACCTACCTGGCTGGATCAGTCTTCTGGCTATTAAGGAGAAAACGTGCAGTTGACCTCAAAAGCCCCAGCTCGGCCCTAAAGCCAGTCTAGGAGCAACCTTCGAGGTTTAGCCAGTTCCAGCTGGCATTAGGTGCCAGTGGTCCCCTGGTTGCTTCCCCAGAGGAAGGTGAGGAGCCAGAAGTGGGAAGAGGAAGTCAGAGGTCTGAGCCAGGGTGGTTGTCCCTTCTGGAGGAGGCCTTCCTCCTCTCTGCAACCAGGACAGCTGTGAGGCTCCAAGAGGCTGGGGAGCAGCCCTGGTAGCCCCAGAATCTGGCTCTGTCCATAGTAGCAGGGCCAAATGCTGCACCACTGGGGATGTGAACAAGAGGAGGCTACCTGGGGATGGTGAGAACCTTGGCCAGGAAGGGAGACTCAGGCTGAAAGGGCAAGGACCCAGGACCTGGTATCTACTGAGTCATGGATTTCTCAAGAAAGCTCTGAGCCTAAGAGGCAGAGCAAGAAAACATCCCAAATTCAGGGATCCAGGCTCTGAGGAGAGGAGACACAGCAGTGACCAGTAGGCTGGTCAGGGAAGCCAGGCTCCTAGCAGAAAGCCTGACTGACCCCACAAGGAAAGGGCGATCAGGTCTCCAAATCCCCAAGTCCAGACAAAAACAGATAGGCTACAAAGGGACAGATCAGCCCAAGCCCTGTGCAAGGATCGAGCTCAGCAAGTGTGCAGAGTCCCTGGTCATCTTTACCCAGGTCCCACAAATGTGTTTTCCTGCAGCTTTGAACTAGATCCCTTGCCAAGTGCATTGTGCCCAACCACCACTGCCCTTTCACCCGGTCACTCACCACCTGTGGGGTGCAGCAGGATGTCCGCTGGGTTGTGGGGTTTCAGGCCCAGAGCAGACAGGGGTGTCTTGGCCAGCCCTGGAGGGGAGCGCACTGTGCAGAAAGAAGAGCACAGAGAGAGGCAGGGAGTGAGGAAGAAGAGCAGGAGGGCCAGCAGGCAGCCCATGTAGGGGTGCCTGACAGCCCATGTGGGGGTACCAAACAGCCCATGTGGGGGTGCCAGACAGCCCATTTAGGGGCACCAGACAGCCTCAGCTGGACAGCCACAGAACCAACCCTGACCCGCTGTTCCAGCTCCACTGCCCTTCCCTGGCTCTGTGTTCCTCCACATTTCAACAGCTTGAAAGACAAAGGGAAAGAGTTAGGAAATGACATGCTTGTCCTGGCCCTGTCTCCAACCCTAAGTAAATAATTCTGCCCCTGGGCCTTTGGCTTTAACTGTAATTCTCCTTATAGTATGTGGCTTATAGCACACACACGGCCTTTTTCTGTGTCTTTGTAATGTTCTCCCCTTCCGTCCTTCTTTCTTTCCCCAACCCACACAGACTCTAAACTAGGCACGTGCATGGACTCAGACCAGGCTAAATGAAAACTGATTCTCACAATGATACATTCTGAAAAGGACTGGGGAGATGGGTGTTACAGGTGGAAACCCTAAAACTGAAGGTCCCTTGCAAATGCTAGCAGGAAGGACCTTCTTGACTTGGGGCTCTGTACCTCAGTGCTGTAAAAGAAGAAGCCCAAGCAGGCCAGGCCTAAGAGCACCAGCTTCCTGGGCAAAGCCAGGCTCCTTCTGATCCACCCAGCTGGGTTACAAGTGTCACATAACACACAAGGTCAGAAAGGGCAGCTGGGCTGTTTCTCATCAGTCAAGGATCTAGGCTGAGCTACAGGTAGTATTATGCCCAGTCACAAGATGTCTCAGTGACAGCCTCACGTCTCACCTCTGAGAATGAATGAAATGAGCTTTGTCTCCTCTCAGGGAGGTTGGTCACTCGCAGAAGGTGCCACTCTCGGGGATGCTCCCTGCCTGCATGATGGTCTCAATACACGACTGCGGCCCTCAGATGCCCGGGATCCACGCACCTTCTCTAGCAACCTTCCCTTTCCCCAAAACATCAGAGATGTACAGGAAATGAACAGCAAAAAAGGAATATAGTCTCAATGCAAGTGACACACAATCAAATTGTGTACATGCAGGAATGTATGTCCATACATGGGAGCAGGGGACACCTCAGAGGTTCCAAGGGATGGCCCACCTATGGCACTCCACTGTCCCTCTGTCCTCATATGTCCAAGGAATAGATGTAGCATGGGGAAAATATGTGTGCCATCATGCACCTCCAGGTATTGGGGAAGCCTAGGCCTTTTCACGTGCCCTATTGCCTAGTCTCACACACACTACTCAAGCATGTTTGCTCACAAATGTTTGTCAGATGCCTGGCTCAATGCATGACTGTGGAGGAAGGAGCCCAGCCCACAACTCCAGGCCTCAAGGCCGCAGGGGCAGCAGAGGGGCAGAAAGATCCACAGGAGAAGGGGAGGAGAATGAGAGGACCCGACATGGGTCCCAGCTCGCCTGGGTTTTCTGCCCATCTGCCACCTGCACCCCACGCAACTCAGTCCCAGGGAAAGTGGCCCTCGTGGGGAAGCAGACGAGTGGGTGGTGCTCAAGCCCAGCAGCCTTCTGCTTCCTGCGAGAAAAATTCCTGGCATTTCTCCGCCTCACATCCTCTCTCCCCGGCCCTATGCAGTTATGAAACCTTTGACTTAGCCTCTTCCCCAGGGCACCCTGGCTGGCCAAGGGTAGGGAGAGGAAAAGGCAAAACTCAATCCTAGCACAACTCAGATGGCTTCCACTCCACACAGTAGACATCCCATCCCTGTCTGTTTGGATCCACCAGTGATCAAAAGCAGTTGCGAAGGTAGAAGATCAAGAGCCGGGAAACAAATACCACTGAGTCACAACAGGGCACAGAGCTGGCTCTGGAGCCCACAGCTTGAAGGCTGCACTCATTCGAGGTCCAGCATGGCAGCCATGAGCCTTATGAGAACCTGCAGCTGGCTAATTGGAACTGGGCTGTGCTATAAATACCGAATGCATGCCAGTATTCAAACAGCATGCAAAAAGGGGCTCCAAATAGCTTGTGTTTTGTATTAATAAAATATTGATGTCTCAATATTTTAGACTGAACCAGCAGATAAAATAAAAGATGTTAATACCTATAATTTTATATTGTTTACCCATTGATATGATAATATTTTGATACAATAAAGATGTTATTAAAATCAATTGCACCAGTTTACTAACATGTCTTTCAGGGCAGCTACTAAGAATCTGAGTGACAAAGGTGCTCGTATTTTGTTTCCATTGGACAGCCAGAGCCATGGCTTCCAGACGCCACTGCACCACCATAACTTCGGCCTCCTGCGTGTCTGAGGTGGCAGCCAGCACATGTTCCACTGGCACATGCATCAGGAGCAATTGCCACATTCCGTGATGTACAGGACTGAGGACTCCCAGCCAGCGCCAGTCTGCCATTCTCACAGCACCCTGAGGTGCCACCCTGACCCCTGAGCAGCCAGTCTCCACTTCCTCTGCCACCCAGGCCTCTCAAGGGGACCCTGAGGTCTCCCAGGCTGGCATGGCTCCATTTCTGCGCTCCCCACAGCCACTCTCTCTCTTCTTCAAGGCACATCCCTCATAAAAAGAAACACTGCCCAATTCTTAGGCTCATCTGGGTCTTCTCTTTAGCTGCCCTTTGGTGGTTGTGTAGATGACCCTGCCTAATAAACCCCTTTGTTTCCCTGGAGAAAGCTGCCCAGGTCACCTGAAATGGAAAAAGTATTTTGATGCAAATAGGAATGGAGTCAGAAACAATGTCAAAGTGAAGTCACAGAGAGTCCATGTTAGGATGGGGGATGTTTTGAGCACAGAATGAAAAAAGACTTCTACAATTAAGGAAGTCCCAGAATATGAGGGTCCTACAGTCCATCATGCTGGATCCCACCACACTGTTAGGACCTGCCTCAGTCGCTCTGCACTGGCCTCAACCTTAGATGTGAGAGTGGACAAGGGAGAAGCCAGCATAGTGGAAGAAAAGAAGTCAAAGCAGGGCTTGCAGATTCTAACCCCACACAATGCTGCTGGAACACTCTTCCCACCCCTCCCCCATACTGGCCAAGGTAGAGATAAGGAGCTGGAGGAAGCACGGAGAAGACAGGCTTAGCACCGTGTTCTTACCTCCAGTGGGTGGTGGGCTGCTGGGGGAGCTTCCTTCCATCTCCTCGAAGGCCTCCTTGTAGCTGTGCAGGTGGGGCTGCAGGGGAACAAAGGGGAGGAGAAGCGGGAGTCCTGAGAAGGTAAGATTGCCCTTCAGATGACCTTGGGCAACAGAACAACAAGTTAAACAGGGATGAGTTGCTTCCTCAGCTCAGACATCACCACTGCTCAGGTAAGCCCAAAATCAAGGGAGAGCTTGGCCATGCGTGGCTCCAGCTTCTGGTCGTTGAGAGAGCAGGGGTGGGACTGTGTGCAAGGCCGTGGTCAAAGCACAAGCAGAATGCAGGAGCACTCAACTTGAATAATTCAGAACAGGGCTACAATGCAGGGGCTGGAGGTGGTGGGCTTGGATCCTACCAGAAGGCAAGTGAGAAAGGTGTGTGAGGCCTCCCACATCCTGGCCGACCCTCTAGGCAGGGCAATACAGGACAGCATAAATGCCCCAGTGTGGTCGATGGACCATCTGCATCAGACTCTGCATCAGGCTACACATTTAACATTGCAGACTCCTCGTTCCCTTCCTAGATCTTCTATGCTGAGATCTCTGGAGGTCTGCAGTCTGAACACACTCCACAGTGGTTCTGCACGCTGAAACTTGAGACTGCTTCCAACTCCTGAGACATCCCAGAAATACCAACACTTTGGCATGAAAACTAAATCTCCCAAGACAACTTTCCAGGAAAGACTTAAAAATTTTTATCAGTCTATCTGACCTGATTTGTGTTCTCAAGCTGGAGGTCACCTATGGCATCCCCAGAATCCTTACCATGCTGTCAGGGGATTCTGGGAATAGAGAAGGGAACTTCCATCTCAGCAGTAACCTAGGAAGTGAGAGCATGAAAGCTACCAGAGGGAGGGAATGGGCTCTACATGCCACACACCAAGAAGAGACCTGGGGTGAGGACCGCGGGGAGAAAAACCACTATGCTTACTGCTAAGTCAGTGCCAAGCTGGTTGCCCACTTCCTGGACTCACCTCTTTGGGCCGCCCTCCAGGATTGAGGGCGATGGTAAGAGCCAGCTCTGGGGAGACACTCTGGACAGGGGAGCGAACCCCAGGGCTCCGGGGGGATGTGGCTTCAGGTGACGGGCTCTCATAGTGTCCGTCGCTGGCTGCTCTCCTCCGGAGCGGAGCTGGAGGCTCGGCAGGCTGCTTCTCTCGAGCCTGCACTCCTGGAGGAAAGGCCAGGCATGGAGGGTAATGAACATATTATTTAAGAAATGGTCCATCATGTCTAAGCCCCCAGAGAAGGCAGCACAGTTAGCCCAGGGGTGGAGCCAAAATGGGCCACCTCCCCTTAGCACCTCCCTCAGCCTGCCAGAGCCCAACTCTGCTCACACCCTAGGCTATCTCTGCAGGGTGGGGGACCTGCTTGCATTGGGCTCAGCCTTTACTAGAACCTCTACTCCACACACAGCACTGGTACCAAGTGCACAAAGGATTGATAGAAGAAACAGATGTCAGCTCCTTCCAGCCCATGGAGGCAGAGGGCCAGAGCTTCCAGACAAGGGAGGAGACAGAGGGAAGACAGGGTCTCCAAGGCAACTGCATCAACTAACAAGCAACATCAAACCCAGGGGGAAGAACTCCTGGAAAGGGCCAAATTGCATCATCTTGCAAATGGTGCTCCCAAAGAAAGATTGTAAAATGACTCAGTCTTGCTCTGGAGCTCTCAGCCCCAACTGCCCCCAGGAATATTCTTGACCCTCCCAGAGGTTCCCCAGCCTTCACTCTGTGCACCCCTGAAACCTCTTGCCAACTTCCCTTACATTAGTCCCTTAGCTACTCCCATCCACCTCCAAAGATGTGGAGGCTCACCCTACCATCCTGCTGAAGGGAAGGCAGCAAGACGTCATGTGCTCCATCTGTGTCTGCGCTTCCCATCCAGTTCTGTCCCATAGGCAGGCGTGTTGTTAGCCTCACCCTGCTTGCTTCCCACTCCCTCCTCCCACAGCTGGGCTGGAGGCATGGAATCCATTGCCTCACTGAGCTGGCTCCCAGAATCCTAGAGAAGTTACTTCCCAGGTCCTTGGGGCCAAGACCCACCCCAAAGGGTATACTTCTAGACCCAATGATCTTCCAAGCGACCGTCTTGTTTTTTAATTTATTTTACAATTTTAAAAATCTTTTATGTATTTATTTGGTACAGAGTCTCGTTACATGGCTCAGACTCACAGTGATTTTCCTGTCTCAGCTTCCCCAGCACTGCGATTATAGGCATGCACCACCACGCCGTTTTGGTGGCTGGCACAGCTCACCTGGGGTTTCGGGACCGACATGGCATGCAGTACAGGAAATCGAACCCAGGTCCTTGCGCTTGCCAAGCAGGCACTTAGACTGCCAAGCTATCTCCCCAACCCCTTCCAGGAGACTTTCTACACTGCCTTCACTACCATATATTAGGATTAACTAAAGGACCCTGAACATTTAACACACAGCATATGTGGGAGTGTTCTCTCTCGCTCTCTCTCTCTCTCTCTCTCTCTCTCTCTCTCTCTCTC